CTTATTCCACTGAGCCATCTCCCCAGCCCTGTACCAAATACATTAAACAAAAAAATCACTGTAGACACAAAACCTATTGCTTGAACTGGAAAACTTACGGGAAAGCTTGTTCATCTTCAAGCATTCCTGGGTTGCATGTCCTTAAGCAACATGTAAGTTTGGCCTTGCTCACTTTAAAAAATAACAATAGTCAAATAAAGTTACCTGAAATTTATCTTGGTTCATTACTTGCATTATTGTATTTCACTTTTTGTCTTTTTGAGACAGGGTCTTGCTGTGCAGTACAGACTGGCCTTGAGCTCACTTAGCCCAGGCTGGTCTCGAACTCAAAATGACTCTCCGGCCTTGGCCTGCAAAGTGCTGGGATTATAGATGTGTGCCACCATGCCTACATAAAACATTTTATTTTTATCTTATACTTGCATAATTTTTAAAGTTTACCTAGGGGCTGGTGAGATGGCTCAGTGGTCTAAAGCACCTACTTAGAACAAGCTTAGCAAAGCACAGGGACCGCGGTTCAATCCCCCAGCACCACATGCCAGCCAGCCCCGCCCCCTGGTGGGCTGAGCTGGCCACACACGCACACAAAATAAATAAATTAATTTAAAAAAATAAAATAAAACTTACCTAGTAAACTCACCTAATATCTACCGAGCTAGACGGGGTCTTTTTCATGGCTATAAATAAGTGCACTCTGTTCCTCAGAGTAGTTCTTTCTTGTCTGCTCCCCTTCTCTGTGCAGGTTGTCCCTGTGTGACTCGTCTTCTCCAGAACAGGGCTTCACTGCTGAAGGTGGGACTGCCTGGCCTGGCCTGGTCCAGACTAGGTTTCCTGAAGTGTAATCGTGTGCATTGGCTGTGTGTTCATTTCTGAGCCAATTCCTGGGCCACAAGAACATGCTCACTTTAAACCCCAAACTTTTCTTTTTCTTTAATCTTAATTTATTTGGTACAGGGTCTCCCCACGCAGCTCAGACTCATAGCAATCCTCCTGTCTCAACCTCACCAGCACTGGGACCACAGGCATGCTCCACCATGCCCGATTTCAGTGGCCAGCACGGCACGCCTGGTTTTCCAAGGCCAGTGTGCCCTGTGACACTGGGGATTGAGCCCAGGACCTTGCGCTTATCAGGCAGGTGCGTAGACCTCCCAGCTGTCTCCCCAGCACTAGTCACCAAACTCTTGAAGCATCATCAGTGACTCATTTTCTTCCCTCTCTGGGATGGAGCCATACCACTTTCATGTCCTAAGTTCTGGATCCTGTGTCCCCACAGGCCAGGCCTGAGTAATCTGATGAAACATTCTTGGCTAATCTTAGAGCTAGTCAGATCCAGCTGTATTCATTATTTAGGATAAAATTTGAAAATTAGTCATGGTGGTACACGCCTGTAATCCCAGCACTCAGACTAGCCTGGGCTACACAGCAAGACACTGTCTCAAAAAAAAAAAAAAAAAAAGAGTTAAAAATTTTCAGCAGAAGTCAAGGCACTGCATTCATGGCTGACTTTAAATGCTGACCAGCCTTGTTGCTGATCAGCCCTTCTCTTCAGGTTCTGTTTCAGCTCTGGGTGGCGCAGAGCTCCGAGTTCTTCCGGCGCCTGAACCTGTTACTCTCCACAGCCCACTTGCCCCAAGAGCCCAAGCTGAACCCGCGGAGCCTGCCGCCCAGCTTTCTAGCTGAGGTGACGCAGGGCCTGCCTAGCGCACACGCTGCCTGCCTGGAGGAGCTGCGGCGCAGCTACGAGTTTCACCGCCACTTCGAGAAGCAGCACCGCCCGGCATCCCCCCGCACCTCCTGTGCCCCGCAGAAGTCGCGGGAGCTGAGCAGTGTCCACACGGCCGTGCGCAGCTTACAGCTCCACCTGAAGGCACTACTCAATGAGTAAGTTTGGCCTTGAGCCAGCAGGCATTGCCCTTGTGCCCTTGGGGCTGCTGCTTGTGTCCTGGAGAGAGGGAAGAGAGAGTTGAGACTTGGAGCCTGAAGGATGGTTTAGAGCTGCAGGGGTAGCAGAGACCACAATTTGTAAGTACTACTCTAGTCCTACTGTAATTGTAGAAAGTTCATTTTTTGCTTTTCTTGATTTTGCCTGAAAACCTAAAAAGACAGGATAAAAGCAGGTGTTATTCATTGGTGAAAGCTAAAATGGAAAAGGTTAAGAGATTCTCACTGGGCTTGGTGGTGCACGCCTGTGATCCCCACATTCGGGAGCCTGGGGCAGGAGGATCCCCACAAGTAGGCCAGCCTGGGCCATATAGCAAGATCCTGTCTCAAAAAAAAAAGAAATAAATGAGTTAAACCACACAAGTTACAAGTTACACCCATAGGGCCAGGGAGATAGCTCAGTAGAATAAGCACTTGCCTGGCAAGCATAATGCCCTACATTAAGGCATTAGCCACTGACCCTCCTACACACAGCCAGATTAAAGTCACTGAGATACACATTTGCATTCTCAGGTATCAGAAAATCTCTGGTTTCCAAGGAGAGCAACTTAGGCTAAAGTGTGTACAGATATACCATGAAAAGGCCAGGGATGTAACTCAGCAGCATAGCACCTGCCTGGCAGCACAAGGTCTGAGTTCCATTCTCCATACCAAAAAAATATTCCATGAGAAGGTGGCCCAGCCCTACTAGGCAGATGCGGTGGCCCACCCTGCTATCCCAGCTCTCAGGTGGCTGAAGCTACAGGATCTTAGTGAGTCGAAGGCCAACCTGGGCCACTAGTGTGTTCAAGGCCAGCCTTGTCTCGGTGAGGACAAGGTGGTGGTGCCGACACCTGACTACAGTCCACATTTCTGTCTGTGTCTTACACACTCCCTTCTGTGTCCAGCCAAGCTGTCCTGGGCCTTTCCACATCCGTCTGCAGTGATCTCCCACACTGTTCAGGTGCAGAGTTTATTCATCCTTCATTGCTGCCCCGAAGGGGCTCTGTCCTTAGCCACTCCCTGTCTGTACACGTGATTGTAGGGAAGCTGAGAAGATCAATAGCTGTTCGTTCCCTAAGATTCCTCTAAGATTATCAATATTTGTTTGTGAAGTTCTTTTGTGCCTGTACTCAGCCCAACTTTACCAGCTCTATGGCTCTGGGCAAGTTTTGGGTTTTTATTTTATTTTTACTCCCTGTATTTAATTCCTTACCTGTAAAATGAAAATAAGATGTTATCTGGGCATGGTAGTGCATGCCTGTAACCCTAGCACTCAGAGGCTAAAGCAGGAGGATCGTTACAAGTTGGAAACCAGCCTGGGCTGCAGAGTGAATCCAAGCCCAGCCTGAACTGCATAGAGACCCTGTCTCAAAAAGACAAAAAAAACAAAACCAAGTGCAGGCTTTAGTGGTACGAAGACATCCACAGCGTGCACAGCCTTGGCACCGTCTGCTTCAGAGCATCAGCATCAAGCTTTGTTTCTAAGTAAGCCTATAGTTTCTCACTTTACATTTTACAATCTCTTTGTGTTTTTTCTTTACAAACCAGGGTAATAATTCTTGAAGATGAACTTGAAAAGCTTGTTTGTACTAAAGAAACTCAAGAACTAGTGTCAGAGGTTTATCAAATCCTAGAACAGAAATTAAAGTTGATTGAGCCCCATGTTCAAGCAAGCAATAGTTGCTGGGAAGAAGCCATTTCTCAGGTGGACAAACTGCTACGAAGGAACACAGACAAAAAAGGTACCTGAGAGAGCGTTCTTTGGCTGTGTTGATCCCACTCATTCCACTCAGAGGGTTTTATTGGGTAGCTTTTTTTTTTTTTTTTTTTTTTTTTTTTTTCTGGTACAGGAATCAAACTCAGGACCTTGGGCTTGTGCCACTGAGCTATATCCCAGGCTCTGTTGGGTAGCTTTCTCCTCTGGAGGATGAAAATGGCATCAGAAATGTCTTCATTTACTTGCAAAGAGTTGCTTTTAGCCAGGTGTGGTGGTGCAGCACTTGGGAGGCTGAGGCAGGAGGATGGCTGCAAGTTGGAAGCCAGCCTGGGCTACACAGTGAGACCCTGACAAGCTGAATTTACATGTACAAACTGACACTGAATTCAAAGTGTTCACTCTTGTGTTTAATATAAAAAGTATGAGTTTGGTGGTCAGAGATCAGAGAGTGAGTTTTCTTTTAAGGTAAATCACTAAAGTAATCAGCTCTGCATTTGTGGCTTGATGTTCATTACTAAGCAGTGGTATACAGTGGTACTGTTAGGTCACATTACCATACAAGGTAGAAGGGCATGAGATTTCACCTCCAGAATGTTTTTGTCTGCCTCAGATTGGATGCTTTTGTTTACATACTACTAATTTCTTCTGAATATTTTGTCTTACTAATTTTTTAATTGTGCCATAAAAGCCCATACTGTGTTCTTCCCATTAACTTTTGTTAGGAGGCTAATCAGACTTACACAAGGAGTCTGCCTTGCTGCTAAAATATTTAGGCTTTTCCACCAGGAAGATCCAATTGATGCATTGCTGTCTTCTACTTAGACCAGCGCAGGCTGAAATGCCTCGCTTACAGGTTCTAGTCTTACACCACGACTCAGCACATTAGCGGCAGTCTTATTTCTGTTGCTCAGATCAGCCAGGGTTCAGCCAAAAGGAGAACATTCGAGCGGATTTGTAGCTGAACTGTTGTTCTGTCGCTTCCTTATCTCTTCACCCCTGCCTTGACGTCAGCCAGGTCTCTGAGAAGCCCCAGTCCTTCTAACAGACAATGGCATCTAGAAACCAAGATCTGGGCAGGCGTGGGGTACGTACCTGTGATCCCAGCACCCAGGAGGCCGAGGCAGGAGGGTTCCCGTGAGTGCTCGGCCAGCCTCAGTGACGTAGTGAAGCCCTGTCTGTCTCAAAGAAAAGAACAAGAATGCAAGCCCTGGTGCTCAGTGTGCTTATTGCCGCTCGGGCTTCCGCTTGTAGCCCCAAAGTGTGTGACCGGAGCTGTGAGTTCCCGTGCCTTACAGACCAGCACACGTGAGCCCCGGCGCTCTCCTTTGGTGTCTACACTCCATGCTTGATGCTGGCTATCCCTTTCTGTCTCTGTACCTCCCTCCTGGATGCAGAAAAACACAGATCCTATCACCTTCAAAACATTTACTGAGGCGAGGGATGTAACTCGGTGGCACAGCGCCTGCCTGGCCAGAACAAGGTCTGAGTTCAACTCCCAGTACCAACACTAGCTTAAACTGAAGACAGTCACTTCACTGCCCACCTGATGTGCCGAGTGCCACTGCCACCGCCCAGGACCCCCCCCCCCGCCAGGCAGGTCTTGCTGTCCCTTGGAGACCCAGCCCTCCCTGCAACACCCCCACGCATCCTGAGTTCACACCTACCACCTCATGCCACTGATGCGTTCCTGCCCCCTCTATTTCATATCTTACTTGACCACAGCATTTAAAAGTATTCTTGCAGCAGGAATGAGGGCACATGCCAGTAATCCCACCTCTCAGGAGGCTGAGGCAGGAGGATCAATCCAAATTTAAAGTCAGCCTGGACTACATAGCATGATCCAGTCTCAGAAAAACACAGGACTACATAATGAGTTTAAGGACAGGTTGAACTACAGAGCAAGACATTGTCAATAAATAAATCTTTTAACATTTATTTCATGAAGAAGTAGGATGTTTATATACTCAAAATTGAAAAAGGCTAAAAAAAAGTAAGAATCTGGGGGAGACTCCAGTGATTCCTTCCCCAGCCCCCTGATTGTTCTTCCTGAAGGGTTAACTGCATGCTCTGCGGAGATTCCATGCACTCATTAATAGTAACAAACGCTGCTATTGTTAGTTCACTGTAGGATATTATATTACATATACATATCTTTCTCTTTTGTATGGCATTATATTCAACCTTAATTAAACCAAGCCTCTTAATAAATTTAGTATTTTCAGTCTTTTCATGTTTCCCACGCATGTAATCCCAGCCACTCTGGAGGATGAGGTGTGAGGATCACAAGTTAGAGGCCAGCCTGAGAAACTTGGTAAGATTCTGTCTCAAAGTAAAAATTTTTGGGGCCGGCCAAATAGCTCAGTGGATTAAAGCACCTGCAAGCAGGCACAGGGACTGGGGGTTTGATCCCTGGGCCTGCCATCCCTGCTCCTGGGCGCGCTGAGACTGGGCGTGGTGGCCCGCACCTATAATCCCAGCACTTGGGCAGCTGTAAACAAAAGAATCACTATGAGTACCCTCTAGTAGTAAGACCCTCAACACCCTGTAGACCCTTCCTAAAGTACAAAAACAAAAAGTAAAAATTTTTTGAAAGGGCTGGTACAGCCAGGCACGTTAGCACACACCTGTAATTCAGCACTCAGGAAGCTGAGGCAGAAGGATTAATGCAAATTCAAGGCCCACCTGAACTACATAGGGAGACCCTGTGTCAAGAACACGAACAAAAAGTAACAATAAGAAAAAGGATGAGATAGAGCTCAGTGCTAAAGCACTTGACTGCTTAGCGTGTGTGAAGTATACTACCCATCTATAACTGCTGTGCTCAAAACAGCTTATTCATAGACTTTGCCCATTTTTTGGTTGTCTCTTCTCATTTATAGGTGTTCTTTATATGACAGGGAAATGACGCTTAATTATAAAATGCAAATACTTTTCCTGCTTTTTTACATAATTTCCATTTTTTCTCTATAATAGATTTTTCCTCACAGAAATATTTTGTGGGTTTTTTTCCCCTATTTGCATGTTCTGGATTTTTATGTAATGTTAAAACCTTCCAATTTCAAATTTATTTTATAAATTCTCTCATGATTTCTTTTAATACTTTTGTGGTTTTATACTTTTACAATGATATTACTGAAGAATTACAATGGACTGCTGAACTGTATAGCTCAGTAGGCCCTGAGTTCAGTGCCAGCACCACAGGAACAGTTGTCTTAGAAAAGAATCCCCAGATAATAAGTTTCCTCTTACTGGAAATATCTCAGGCTGAGCATGGTGGCACACACCTGTAATCCCTGGAAGGCCAGATAGGAGGATTGTTGTGAGTTCAAGACCAGCCTGGACAACAAAGTCAGGTTCAAGGCCATCTTGAATTGCATAATGAGACCTTGTCTCAAAAAAGGCAAAAAAACAAAAGGTCTGGGGATTTTGTTTTTTAATTTATTGGATACAGGGTCTCACATAGTTTGGACTCCTAGTGATCTTCCTATCTCAGCCTTTCCAGCGCTGGGATTACAGGTGTACATCACCATGTCCAGGGGTGGGGCCAGCACAGCATGTATGCCAGGGATCAAACTCAGGTCTTTGTACTTGCCAGGTAAGTGCTTAGACTACATAAAAAAGAAAAAAGAGAAGAAAAGCTGTCCCCGGCAGTCCAAAAGCAGACTAGGTCACTGCTCCCACTGTTGTACTCTTAGAGTCGACATGTGCTCAGGAATCTAAGGTGTAAAAAAAATTTTTTCGGGCCTGGGGAGATGGCTCAGTGGAATAAGTGCTTCCCTGGCAAGCGCAAGGGCCTGAGTTCAATCCCTGGTTCCACAAAAAAAAAAAAAAAAAAAAAAAAAAAATTTCAAGACAGGGGTCTCAGGGCTAGCCAGATAGCTCAGTGGATTAAAGTGCCTGTTTAGGCAGAGCACAGCGGCCAGGGTTCGATCCCCAGTGTGCTGTGGCAGCCCCGTCCCCCAAGGCGCACTGAGAGGGCGATTGAGACTGGGCGTGGTGGTGTGCGCCTGGTATCCCAGCCAGTGCTTGGGAGGCTGAAAACAGGAGAATCACTATGAGTCCGATCTACGTAGTGAGACCATGTAGACCCTGTAGACCCTGTCCAAAATACATTTAAGAAAAAAGAAAAAGACAGGATCCTTCCATATAGTTCAAGGGGCTGGCCTTGAACTCAGCATCTTGAGATCAGGCACCCCAGCGCTACCTAGCACGCACAAACTCATTGCAAAATGAGTTGCAAAAGCCAAGGACACTTCTGTCCTCTAAGAGCTTAAATTATATTGTACATCTGCTGGTGCCACTGCTAACGTTCGTCTCGCATGCCGCCTGCCTGCCTGCCTGCCTGCCTGCCTGCCTCCTGGCTCTGTGTGTTGGTGTCTGCCTGTGGTACTAGAGATCAGCCTCAGCACCTTTGCACTGACCTACATTGCCAGCCCATTTGGTTTTTTTTAGTTTCATCCTTGTATAGGGGCCATGCTAATCTTCTCTGTATCATTCCAGTTTTAGTATATGTGCTGCCAAAGCGAGCACTATTTTTTTAGTTTGAGACAAGTTTTTCTCTAAGTTGCCCAGGCTGGCCTCAAATTTGAGATCCTCCTGCTTCAACTTCCCAACTGCTGGGATTACAGATTATCTACCACACCTGGATAACTTTGTATTTGTAATTTTTATGAATTAACAGAACAAGTTGGGCTATATAGCTGACAAGGTAGTAGTGCTGAGGATATTTTTATGTGGCCACTCTCATCTGTACCGTGACTCCCATTTACCTTTAAAGGCAAGCCTCAAGAGGCGTGTGAAAATCCACACTGCACCGCAGTGCCTCTGCCACAGCCTGCTCTACACATCGTGGACGAAGACCCGATCCCAG